GGTTTATTCTAAGTTTTGCCCTGTGATTAGGAACCCTAGGCATTAACACAATGTGTTGTAAATACTAGAATGGCTAACGTGGAAGACAGAGTATTGTAAAATTTGATATGGTAATAAGGCTATCCTTTTGGACAAGTAGCTAGATAGGTTTACCTTTTCTGTCTGTCCCCTTCCCCCTTTCAAAACTTAATTTGAATCAGAGCTACGGTCCTGTGAGCAGACAAAAATCAGATGCAGGTAGGGAAATGCGGAAAAGTGTGAGGACTACTAAAGCCACGGTGGCCTTTTTGTTTCATTCTGCTCTGCTCACTGGACCGTAACTTATTTGAGATTTTATATGGCAAGCATGATAGTTTTTGTTCATTTGGTGGAGAACTTTAGGTTCTCAATTTAGGTGTTTACTTGTTACTAAAATGAGTTAAATCGGGTTATTTTCTTATTGAATAGTTTCTCTTTTTTTATGATTGGTTATTGTGGCCAGTGATGAGTGGGTGAAGGGGATGAGCTGATTACGGAGTGCCTCCTGTGACGATTTAAGTTGGGATTTCTTGCAGCCTTCCTTCCTGAGTACTTGCCTCATAGCTTGAGGGGTGGGGGTGTGAGGGGATCATGTCTGTACCAAAGCTTCAAAATCCTGCAGTTTGGATATCGTGGAATTTTACTAAAAGGAAGGCTATAGTTGCCTTTTTTGTCGTTGTTAAGAAATTTTATAAATTTAGGCTTTTATACTATTTATATTTTACCTTGGGAGTTGTTCTCATGCTAATTAACTTTCTCCTTTATCTTTGCAGGGAAAAAATTACTTTAGTTTTGGAAAGATCCTCTTCAAAAATACCACTATCTTCCTGAAATGTGAGTTTTTGCATTTCATGAAGCTTTTGAGTTTTTGATTGATCCTTAAACTTTTAAATTACCTCTTTTCTACCTCTGTTGACTTATTCTCAATATAAGTTCTGAAATTTAATAGTCCACTGTCTAGGGCCTAGATTCTAGGCATTAACATATGTGATATAACTAATGTCCTTTCACTGAATAATCTTCAGAATATTTACTTATGGGAACTTTCTTGTTTTTCTGGTGTTTATACAAATGGCCATTGAAAAATGTGTGGGTCAAGAGCTCCAACTCCCCACACAGGAAAAAAATCCATGTATAACTTCTGACACCCCCAAAACTTAAGTTATTCTTCAGTATCTGTGGGGGATAGATTATTTCCAGGACCCCCACAGATACTAAAATCAAAGGATCCTCAAGGCTCCTATCTAAAATGGCATAGATCAATGCATACATTCAGCCCTCTGACTCCTAGATGCTGATGAAAGCAATATGGGTATTTATGGGGGGGGGGGGGGGGGAAAGCATGTATAAGTGGCCCATGCAGTTCAGACCATGTTGTTCAAGGGTCAGCTGTATCATTAGACAGATTGTGTTGGTTGATTGGTTGATTGCCAGCATGGTGTTTTAATCTGTTCTGAATTATAGAGACAATACCGATTTTGCTTTTGTGTGCCTGATGGATGTTTACTGAACATATGACGTAGGTTTGTCAGATCACTGGCTGTGAATGAATATGTATAGTGTATCTTTTGTTTGCAAAAGGAGTATTTTACCACTTGGATCTTTGCAAGAGGAAACTCAAAGATATTCTTTATTAGGAAATAAGGGTTATGTAGAACAAAACCAGTCTGTCCAGTTTAAAAACCACTGAATCCAAAATATCCCATTGTGCATTAAAGAAAAGCTTCCTTTTATTTCTGAAACTGCCTTTATTTTAGAGAACATAGGCAGCTCTATTTCAAGATCAAGGATAAAAAAATCTAAGTCATCCATGTATATTTCTATGCATATCTCCATGAAGTGCAAAGTTGGAAGTCATAGTTTGGTTATTTTATCCTTTTAATAATTTAGTAAGTAGTTATTAAAAACTTACTATGTGCCAGGCACTGTTTGAGACAGCAGGGAAGTGATAGAAAAGGATCTTTCTTTAGTTGATTTACTGGGGTTGAAAGAGGACAGTATACTCTCCTGATAAGTGACTTAAATTTTATTTAAATCAAATGTACTCTGACACACTGGTCTTTCTTATGAGGTTGGTTTACTAGATTAGGGTAGCTTTTAAGGGTTATGGGGAGTAGTGTTTTATCTTTTGTCTGACAGTCTGTGTTTCAGTATGGCTAGTGACGGGGGCTGTGAAAGAATTCACAATTAGAAAAGATGCAGAGAGGAAAATGTTTTTACTAACAAGGGAGCAAAAGACCAAGTATTGCTAGTCAGTACAAGGCTGGGAACCAAAGCTTACTTGCTCTTTTTTTTTTTTTTTTTTTTTTTTAATATATTTTATTGATTTTCTACGGAGAGGAAGGGAAAGAGATAGAGAGTTAGAAACATCGATGAGCGAGAGTCATCCATCAGCTGCCTCTTGCACACCCCCTACTGGGGATATGCCCGCAACCAAGGTACATGCCCTTGACCGGAATCGAACCCGGGACCTTTTAGTCCCCAAGCCGACGCTCTATTCATTGAGCCAAACTGGTTTCGGCCTTGCTTGCTCTTTTAAGAAGTGGATATTGCAAGGAAGGGAGGGGGGATTCTGTTGAAGTTGAGCAGATACCAGGGCGGGTTGTCTTAAAAAAGTTAGTTTGCTTTCCAGGAGACAGTCAGGCAGATCTCCTAAGGAGGTGTCTTATCAGTATTTTTTCCACGCCTGTAAAACATGCTTAGAACAAAAGTTATAAAGAGTTCAAAAGAGGCTTCTTTTAAAGGGGAGTAGAGAAAGGAACTTTTCTAACTAACTAGAGACTGCTTTGGTATGAATTATTCCAGCGTTGTTAAAATAGCAGGGAGGAGGAGGGGGATGCAAGAATGTAGCCTTGAGAGTAGCTTATCTTGTCCTGCAGTTTGAACCAAAGGCTGTTTGAATCAGAGGAGCCTATAATCTTGGGGATTAATTATCAGATGCTTCTCATAAATTGTGGAAGGCCAGAGCAAAGAAAAGGAAAGGACTTTTTCTGTCCTTACAGCCTGTATGATCTTCTTTACTTTTATTATGTACAGTCTTTTCTCGTCTGTTTTTTTGATCTAGTGGTGTTTTGCCAAGTTACACAAGCTACACATTTTGAAGCTACATACATTTCATTGTTTTTGGAGGATTTGCAGCTCCTTAACATTTACATTATCTTTCACTTTACTTCTGTGCTTTCTCAATTTACCATGTCTCTGATCTTATACTTTTGTGGGTAGGTTATATAGCTTTCCATGAAACTGGCAGGACCATTTTCATGATCTCTCAAAGCCACCCAATTTAAAGTTCTAACTGGTGTCTTTTAACATAAATAGTAGTATTTTTTGCAGCCAAGTTTCCTTGCAAATCTCCTTTTTAGAGGCACTTCTCCCTTTTTAAGCTTTAATCTTTATTTTGTTTTATTTTATTTTATTAATGATTTCAGAGAGAGGAAGGGAGAAGGAGAGAGAAATAGAAACATCAATGATGACAGAGAATTATAGATTGGCTGCTTCCTGCATGCCCCCTCCTGGTATAAAACCCACAACTAGGCATGTACCCTGTCCTGGTTCACGGCTGATGCTCAACTACTTGGCCACACCAGTCAGGATAGGGGTATGTCTTACTGGCTCTTATTTAATTGATGCTGTCTCTGTATGGTTCTTCTGAGTAGTTCATAGCAAGTTAGCAATATCCTTTTATCATTTCCATAAATTCTGTTCAGCACATCAGATTTTTGTGTATTTCAATTGAACCTTGTCAAAGTGTGTCACTTAAACATTAGTTTGAAAAACCAATTAAAAAAAAGAAAAGTGAAAGGTTATAACTTTAGGTATGCTGCTTCTGTTAGAACCAAAATAGGTTCCTAGGTACAGTCATGTTTATTTGTCATGTTTGCGTAAAGTTGGAATTTCTAGTATATTTTTCTTTCTATAGCAAGAAGCAAAGTAAAAGGTAATGTTGACCCTCCTCCCCCTACAGACAGCGAATCACTTCCAAATCTTCCAATGCCTTGGTCCACTAGAATATTGTGTTCCAGACTAAGTTAATGAGGCTTTTATGATTTCATAAGGTTCCTTGAGGTTTCTCTAAAGGTGGGTTTTGAAAAGAATCATTTTTTTGCTTTTGCTATTTTCTATCTTCCCCAGCCAGGTTTGTTTTTTATTCATAGTTCTTCCTACCCAATCTCGGTATCTTTCAAGGTTTAAACCATGAATTTTCTCCTTGTGGAACTATTTTGAATATTGCCTTTGATATGTCTAATGTTGTTATTCCTTCTCTCTCCAACTAGAATGGAGTCTTTTTAAGGGTTTTACTAATTTCCCCCCTCCTATTTCCATCTTTGGCCTATCATAGTTCCATGTAGCACTGTATTTAAGTACACTGCTCAATAAATATTTGGATGATAATAAAAGACGATTTTAACTTAGAACTGCTTTATTATTTCCAGATTTTTCTAGGGTTTAAAGCATAGAAGTAGATAGAGTTTCAAAGTTTAAAAACTGCTTAACTGCTTTTCCTTTTTGTGGGTAATTTAATTTTATATGAAGAATATCCAGTTCTTTTTGCATGTATTACTTCATTACCTACTGTGCAGAGAAGAAATGGCCTATGAATATCTCATTTTAGCAGAAAATAAGTGGGGTGATGGGGTTTATCTTTTACTCACAAAGATTCTTCTTTTATAGTTGATGGAGAACCTTGTGATGTATCTTTGAATATAACCTGGTATCTAAAAAGTGCTGATTGTTACAATGAAATCTACAACTTCAAGGTAAGGACTTTGGAGATCATCAATCAGGTCCTAATCCAAGAGAGGAAGGAGTGTCAGGAAGCCATGGGGGAGAAAAACAGATTAGAGTCCTTGCTTCCCAAGTTGCAGGCGTAGTTAATTACCAGCAGTTCTCAAACTTTCTAGTCTCAGAATTCTGTTACATTTTAAAATAGACTCCAAAACTCCTTTGATCATATTTGTATTTATATTAAAAATTAAAACTGTGCTCACTTTGACAGTGCATATACTAAAATTGGAACAATATAGGGAAGATAGCATGGCCCCTGTAGAAGGATGACATGCAAATTGGTAAAGTGTTCCATATTTAAAAAAAGAAAAGAAAAATGAGAAAATAGAGAAATATTTATTCAGCAACAATAAACTCACTGCATGATATAAAAATTTTTTAATAAACTTAAAAACATACACCAGAAGAGTGGTATTATTTTGTGTATTTGCGAATCTCTTTATTTAATGTCTGGTATAGTAGAAGACAGCGGAATCTTGTATCCTTTACTCTGTCTGTTTCGATGTTATTTTGGTCATGGGCACATAGCCAGGTTGCAGGCTTTCTCCCCAGTGTGGGGCATGCAGGAGGCAGCCAATCAGCGATTCTCATCATTGATGTTTTAATCTCTCTCTCCTCTCCTTTCCTCTCTGAAATCAATAAAATATATTAAAAAAACAAAACAAAAACAACACAATTGCAAGTTTGTGACTATGAAGAGTAAAGTGAGTATTAGTACAGTTAGGTGCCATTGCATTGGTTCCTGATAAGGGGCAGCAGCTTACTCATCATTACTTTTGCACTATTAGTACAAGGCAAATAACATCATGATGATGATGTTGGCAAGGCAAATAACATATGATGATGAGGAAGAAGAGGAGGAGGAGGAAGGGGGAGAGAATAGTTTTGACTTCTTAAAATCTCATAATCGAAAGGGTCCATGGACCATACTTTCAGAATTACCATTGTACACTGTACTTGGGCATTGAAGATTTATGGCACCTGTGTGATTTTTTTTTTTTAGGACTTTTTCATTCTTTAATAATTTTTTAAAATTACATTTCTCCTACTATTCTTGAGGTTTCTTTTCAAAGATAATCTGACTGGTCTTAAAAATATCTACCATTCAATCAGTTTTCAAACCATAAACATTTTAAATCTCTGCCTAATATTAGGGTTTAAATTATCTTCTTGTGGTGGTGTTAATTGTTTTTTGCACTTGTTATGCAACATTGGGTAGGATTAATAAGAGGAGGACTAAAGCACTGAAGAATTTAGAGAGATGATAATATCAGAATATAATTTGAAATATTATTGGCTGATCTTTTTCTCCTCTAATTTATTACTAATGCATTTACAGTTAAAAACTTTATATATTTGAAACTTCTGATAAAATTGGTCAAGAGCTAAGCAGATCCAGTCTTCATAGGTAGTATACGTTAAGATGTAAAAGTTATTTTGTCATGGGACAAAATTACGGAAATGACAAGCAGATAGAGATGAGATACTGGACCTTAGAAAAAAGAGGGTGAGGTTAGGCATGTAGACATTGGAGAAAAATGCACAGAACTGGTTAGCGAAGCCACAAAAATCGAGTGTTTCAGAGTGTCAGCGGTGGGCTGTTAATGGCTACAACGATTTTGTGCTCTATCCTAGCTTCTGAGCACAAGTGTGTCTTTTTATTAGTGGTGTTAATTTAGTGAAGTAACTTGTAAATATATACATGTATTTTTGAGGTGATGAATGTTAACCAAATTTATTGTGACATTTATTTCAATACATATATACAATTATATCGCAATAAAACCAGGAGGGGGAAGATTTACAGCTATCAAAGTTGAAGAAACCCATGTACTTATTTTACCTCACATCCCTTTATTACCTTCATATTTGTCAGCTGTATTATTTTTATGGTACCCTTCCCCTCTTTTACCCCCTCTAATTGTTTACCTTTTCTCTCTTTACCTTATTGGTTTGGCTAGAATCTCCAGAGTGATTTTGAGTAATAGTAGTAAGAATGGCTATCCTTGTCTTGTTCCTGATATTAAGGAAGAAGCAGTCAGTCTTTTACTGTTACACATGATGTTAGCTGTAGCTTTTTGGTAAATGGCCTTTATCAAGTTGATAAAGTTCCATTCTATTTCTAGTTTGCTAAGAGTTTTAATCATGAATGGATTTTACTTTTGACAAGTAATTTTTCTGCATCTATTGAGATTGTAAAAATCATATAAATATATTTTCTTGTAACAAAATTCTCTAGGGTCTGTTTCCCAGTTTTGTAGAATTTTTAGAGGACCTACCCTTTCTTTAGAGTCCAACACTATTAGAGTCTAGGTACTATTATATAGAATCTTTATCTGTTAATTTTTAAAATAGCAAACCCCAAACTATATTTGTATAATAGGTGATCTGTATGTTTTAAATATCTTAAAGTAAGTTAAATACTTTGTATTTATTTTTTCCAGACAGGAGATATGGAGAAATATTTGGAAGAACTTAGGGAAAAAAAGGGCTTGTCTGGGAAATATCAAACATCATCAAAATTGTTCCAGAACTGTAGTGAACTCTTTAAAGCACAGGTAATGTTTGGTAGTGGAGGGAGGGGAAATAGGAAAAAATGAAAAACGTTAATGCCTGTATTTTTGGTGATCTATTTCCTGCTCCCTAGTTCGATCTTCTGACAGAAATAAGTTAGAATCATGTTTTGATTGGTGCACAGCCAGTCACATAATTTCTCATCATAAAAGAGGATGTACTTATTTGTGTGTAAAAAGCAAACCCCCAATTTATTTTATATTGGTAAAGATACATAACATAAAATTTACCAATTTAATCATTTTAAGTGCGCCATTCACATTGTTTTGAAACTATAACCACTAATCATCTTTAGAACTTTTTTGTCTTCCTAAATGACACTTTATAATGCTTAAACAATAATATCTAGACACACGTTCCTGGTAACTATTCTCCTTTCTGTCTCCATGAATTTGACTATTCTAGATACCTCACAGAAGTAGAATCATAGCAATATTTGTTTGGCTTCTTGCACTTAACAGTGTTTTCAAGGTTCATCCATATAGTATGTACCAGAAATTCTTTCCTTTTTAAGGCAGAATAATGTTTCCTTGTACACATATAACACCTCTTGTTTATCCATTGATGGACATTTGAAACCCCCAATTTTTAATTATTTTGTCATTTCATCTATTTCATTGGTATATCCCCAGAAAAGTCAGCAATTTTAGATTTTACTGCTATAGACCTGAAGTGAAAGCGTTGAATTTTACATATATAAGTGGGATTTATATTGTAAAATTATCTTCTCTTAGAAATAGGATTAGACACAAAATTTTAAACAAAATTATATATCCTATAGGTGTTAAAAATAGTTACTGTAATTATAGCTTTTGCTTTGTGTTTACTGAATTTAAATGTTGCTTCAGAATATTTAGCAAATTTCCTTGAAGAGGCAAGGAAGTTCATGGAGAGCTAGGTTTTCTGTCTAGTTACTAGAAGTAGTTTATTGATAAGGCTTTAAGGAATAATTAGTAATAAGCAAATTAAGTAATTGATAATTGAACTGTAAAGATTAAGTTCTTATTATAACTTAGATTTTATGGACTTGGAGGAAAAGAAAATATCTTGTAATGGTGGAAGAATGGTAGAAAAAGAAAACTAGGAACAATGTGATATTGAGTGGGGGGGGGTTTCTGTTTATTCTCCTAATTTATTCTCCTGGCTAGGAGAATCATTTGGCCTTTGCTGAAATGTGAAAGCTACTTATTGTATACTGCTGCTCAAAATTTCCTAATTTTAGATCTGCTATAATCTTTCCAGGGTGTGGGCACATACCCCTATTGGTAAGGTTTCCTCTCCTCAATCTAATGTAACAGAGTTGAAATATGTGCTCTAAATACTCAGGATGGAAAATGCCTCCTCACCTGCTGGTAACTAGTAACAAAGGTAAATGTTATAATTAGAGTAGGTTTGTTTTTTTTGTAGCCAGGGAGTGTGTTGTGGTGGAAGGAGCAATGGACCAAAGAGGTACGAACCTTAGGTTCACATCCAAAGCTTTGTAGCTTTGAGCCACATTTTCTTTATCTGCAGAATGATGGGGAACTATAAGATCCCTCCATCCGAAGCGTATATCTGATTGGGCATGAGCCCATGGCAGGCACAGTGGGGCCAGGATGAGCGGGAGCAGAAGGTGGGAGCTGCAGGGGGTGTTGGACTGTGGGTTTCAGCCCAATCCCTGCAGGCCATCCGAAGGGATCCCACCTGTACGCGAATTTGTGCACCGGGCCTCTAGTGTTATTATATTTACTGTTTTAACATGTTTTGCTTGAACCATTTTTATGAATTTAGAAATATATTTTTATTACATACCTTTAATTTTAGTTTTGTATTTCTTCCATAGAGCTTTTCTGGGGATTCAATGCATCGATTGCCTCTTTTAGGAGAAAAGCTGGAGGTAAATTTTTCTGGGAGTAAATAGTAAAATTTTTGAATTTTCTTTTCTGAGTAAATAGTAAAATTTTTGAATTAATTTCCTTTTTTTTCCTTTTTTTAATGTTTTAAAGGCTAAGGAGAATGGAACAAATCTTACCTTTACTGGAGAAAAAATTGTAAGTAAAATAGGGAATTCAGCTTTTTTATGTTTGTGTATTTTGAATTATCTTGATATGCTAACATTTAAAAAGAAACTTAAGACTGGAAGCTGTACACCAAAATGTTGATAATAGTTTTCCCTAGTTGGTGATAAGAGTGATTTTTATTTTCTTCTTGGCGTTTTCTGTATTTTTCATATTTTCTGCAATCACTTTTTAATGTTTCTTTTTCTTTTCTTTTCTTTTTTTAAATATATTTTATTGATTTTGTACAGAGAGGAAGGGAGAGAGATAGAGAGTTAGAAACATCGATGAGAGAGAGTCATCAATCAGCTGCCTCTTGCACACCCCCTACTGGGGATATGCCCGCAACCAAGGTACATGCCCTTGACAGGAATCGAATCCGGGACCCTTCAGTTCCCAAGCCGACGCTCTATTCATTGAGCCAAACCGTTCCCGGCTCACTTTTTATTGTTTCTGTAGTTATGACCCCATACATATATTCACCTAAAAATAAAAGCAAAGGTGACAGGTAAAAAAATATATTTGAGACCCAGGAGGAATTGCAATCTTGGGAATCACTGATTCTGGCAGAAACCCAAGTAGTGTTCTGATTGGGAGGTAAAGGCAAGGGGTATTTATGAAAAAGGGAAGGAATTGAAGCAAGGAATTCTGTTGATGTTAATAAGTCAAGGAAGGATTTTCTATTAAGTGC